ACTGCCAGGGATCCAGGGCAGCCAGAGCTGCTCTCACCCTGTGCCAGGCCTGCCCACCCTCACTGGGAGGAATTTCTACCCAATATCTCATCTCATCTTGCTCCTCCAGGGCTCCAAGACCTTCCCACAAGCCCGGGGGAGGTCTTGCAGCCCTGGAGGAGCAAGGTTTTGGCTTCCCACCCAGCACCAAAACCTCTCCTCCTGACACATTGCAGATGTTGCTCCAAACCCTTCCACAGCTGCAACTGCTGAAGAACTTCAATTGCTCCAAAGCTTGGAGAGCTCCGTGCCCACCACAGCAGCATCCCCTGAATGCCAATGGGGATGGAAAGACTGGCAACATCTGCATCCCAGAGAGAGGAAGGCAGGGATCCAAGTGCCTGATTTACAGAGGGAATAAATAAGCCCCGTTCTTATGGCAGCAGCTTGTCCCTGCAGCAGCACAGCCCCCTCTGCTCCACAGGGATAAATTTAGAGGAGAAAGAGGCTTAAATTGAGCATGTGCAACACCAGCAGAAAGTGAGGCTTGGGAGCAGCAGCACTGGGGTCTTCCACGAAGCCTCAGCCCAAAAGTTTCCCAGTGGAACCAGGGTGCAACCTCTGGATTCTCCAAGAATCCCTCATTTATTCCCTGCAGTCCCCCAGCCTGGGACATCAGCTCCATCAAAAATACAACAAAGCCAAATAAACCCAATGCCTTTGGCCCCTTTGTTCAGCAGCAGCTCCATGCAATGGTTCCCTGCACATCAGCCCCCCCAGACCCACAGAGAGACCCTGGTGCTCCTGGGAGGCTGATCTGGGACCCAAATGTAAAACACTCCTAAATACTGAACTGGATCGAAGCCCAAATTATTAATGCCTGGTATTACCTGGTAACAGTCTTTAAATAGGTGATATTAAAATAGTTATTTCTCTGATGCTTCCACTTTGCTTAATTTTGATAATATGATTTAATGACTTCCAATTATGCCAGCTATTTAATTTTTTTAATGTGTTTTCAGGCCTCTTCCCCTCCTGCCAGTGTAATCAGGTATCCTGTTAGTCTCCTACTGGAATATTGACATTATTTTCCCTCCATCCTCCTCCTTTCCAGCAGCAGAACCTGCCTGACCAACAGAAACCCTCCAGGAGCGTGGCTGCCTGCTCAGATCAAGCAAAGCTGGCAATGATTTTTGCCTGATTATCCATAATGAATGGTGGAGTTTTACTGCAGCCATTTACCCTCATTAACCCTCAAATCAGCCCAGGGAGCCCAGGATGCCCAAACAGAAACCCTACATTGCCTTCAGAAAAGTGCAAATTTCCATCTCCATTTCTGCACGTGTGCAGAAAAAAAATAAAGAATTGAAATACTTGAGATAAGATAATAAATAAGAATTGAAAAAAATTAAGAATTGAAATAAGGCTGAAATTGGTATCCTTAGACTTGCATCTTTTCCAACCTTTTCCTTCTCTTCTGCGCAAAAGGGCTCTAAATTTTATCCTGAAGATTTTGAAAGTGCTAGCAGGGTTACACACATGAACAAATCCATGTTTAAAACTTGGAATTTGTCAAAATGTCCTCTTGATACAGAAAAATATACTGAGTCAGAAGTGGGGCTACTCATATACAGTTTAAAGAAAGGAAAATTCTTTGAAGATGCCCAGCTCTATATAGAAAAAAAACCAAAAATGAAATTTTTGCAAATTTCTGTCTCCATTTCTGCACGAGCACATCAGGGTCCTCCACAGAAAAGGGGCATAAACAGGGGGTTGTAATGAGGGAGAGAACACAGAACTACAGAACACCTTCATCAAGAGATGAAGGAGAAGGAGAACATCTTCATCAAGGCTGGAAAAGCCCTTTGACTGGATCCCACCACAGCCACCAAGCCAGGTCACAAAGAGCCACATCCACTCGTGTTCTGAACACCTGGAGGCATGGTGACTCCAGCCAGGTCACAAAGAGCCACATCCACTCCTGTTCTGAACACCTGGAGGCATGGTGACTCCAGCCAGGTCATGAACAGCCACATCCACTCCTGTTCTGAAGCCTTGGTGACCCCACCACGTCCCTTCAGAGCTGCTCCAAACACTTCCCAAAGGCACAGAGAGCCTGCAAGGGCTCCATGCCAGCCACATCCACTCCAGGCAGGTCTCCTGAAGCTTCTCCCCTCCCATCCTCCCTGATCATTTTATTCTGAGCAGCAGCTGCCCAGCAAAGGATGGATGAAAACCAATCCCACACTCAAAACAGAAACCCTGCATTGCCTTTGGAAAAGTGCAAATTGTTCCCATCTCCATTTCTGCACGAATGCATCAGGTCCTCTACAGAAAGGGGCATAAACAGGGGGTTGTAATGAGGGAGAGAACACAGAACCATGGAATCATCAAGGCTGGAAAAGCCCTTTGACTGGATCCCACCACAGCCACCAAGCCAGGTCACAAAGAGCCACATCCACTCCTGTTCTGAACACCTGGAGGCATGGTGACTCCAGCCAGGTCACAAAGAGCCACATCCACTCTTGTTTTGAACACCTGGAGGCATGGTGACTCCAGCCAGGTCATGAACAGCCACATCCACTCCTGTTCTGAAGCCTTGGAGGCATGGTGACTCCAGCCAGGTCATGAACAGCCACATCCACTCCTGTTCTGAACACCTGGAGGCATGGTGACTCCAGCCAGGTCACAAAGAGCCACATCCACTCCTGTTCTGAACACCTGGAGGCATGGTGACTCCAGCCAGGTCATGAACAGCCACATCCACTCCTGTTCTGAACCCTTGGTGACCCCACCACGTCCCTGCAGAGCTGCTCCAAACACTTCCCAAAGGCACACAGAGCCTGCAAGGGCTCCATGCCAGCCACATCCACTCCAGGCAGGTCTCCTGAAGCTTCTCCCCTCCCATCCTCCCTGGTGAGAGCCCCCCTGGCCCTGCAGCCTGTGCCACCCACGCAGCAGCCCCAGACACTGCAGGATTAAAGCCAGGCTGAGCCTTCCGGAGTAAGCCTGGGATTAGTGCACGGCCTAACAGGGATTGAAGAGTCTCCATCCCCCAGGACTACTGAAACTCTCAAAACAAGGCTGGCAGCCAGCATCCCTTGGAGATCCACGCTCCTGCCCTGGGAAATGCATTTCTGGTGCTGATGTGTGCACCCTGTGATGGAACAATCCAGCCCCAGCCCCAGCCCAGTATCAATCCTCTCTCACAGGCACTGCTGTCACTGTCATGTTTTCTGGAAAAATCCCTTTGCCCAGGATTCTCCTCCTGGGAAGCTTCAGAGAAAAAGGAAAACAATAATTATCTGATTTGCTTCTCCTGTGTTTTGCTCCTTTGGAATGTGTTTGGACTTTGTTTACCCACAGGTGATTGTTTCATTGGATTCCTGTGAATTGTTTTAATTTATTGGCCAATTATGGTCAAGCTGTGTGGAGGCTCTGGAAAGAGTCACAAGTTTTCATTATTATCTTTTTAGCCTTCTGTAAGTATCCTTTCTGTATTCCTTAGTATAGTTTAGTTTAGTATTCTGGAAAGAGTCACCAGTTTTCATTATTATCTTTTTAGCCTTCTGTAAGTATCCTTTCTGTATTCTTTAGTATAGTTTAGTATTCTTTAATATCATATAGTTTAGTATAGTTTAGTTTAATAGAATTTATTATTAAAATTAGAATTTAATAGAATTTAGTTAGCTTAATAGTTAATAGAATTTAGTATTAGAATTTAGTTTAGTATTCTTTAATATTATATTATATTCTTTAATGTAACATAGTATCATAATTATAATCAATGTAATAGGTGTATCACTTGGTGAGAAATTGAGGTTTTGGGGTTTTTAGTATGTTGTGGATGGAAGCAAGATGGAGGGCACAGGGTGTCCTCCTGGGTTTCTTCTTCATGGTTCTTCCTCCTTCTCCATGGGTTTGGGTGGCATTTTGTAATTGGGTAGAAAAATCCACATTGTGGGCTCTTTAGGACCAGTTATTGGGTTAAAAGGGAAATAATCCAGGTGTCAGTTCTTAACTGGATTGTTTGGTTTTAAAGACCTTGGATCAAGAGACCGTTGGCCATTTTTGTGGTGCTTTTCCAGCCTGCTGAGCCTGGTGTGGGCAGCCTGCAAAACTCTGGGTAAGATAATAATAAACAAGAACCTGAAGAGCAAAAAAATCCAGTGGCTCTCTCCTTCCTGAGACAAAACTGCTCCAGGAGGGCCTCCCAGCCTGAGTCCCAGAATTCAGGGAATGGGCAACAGGTACCAGGTGACACCTCGGTGACACTGCTGGGCAGCAGGTGGCACCTCAGTGACACTCCCAGGCTGCAGGTGACACCTCAGTGTGGCACTGCTGGGCTGCAGGTGACACCTCGGTGACACTGCTGGGCAGCAGGTGGCACCTCAGTGACACTCATGGGCAGCAGGTGGCACCTCAGTGACACTCCCAGGCTGCAGGTGACACCTCAGTGACACTGCTGGGCTGCAGGTGACACCTCAGTGGCACTGCTGGGCTGCAGGTGACACCTCAGTGTGGCACTGCTGGGCTGCAGGTGGCACCTCAGTGACACTCATGGGCTGCAGGTGACACCTCAGTGACATTCCTGGGTTGCAGGTGACACCTTGGTGACACTGCTGGGCTGCAGGTGACACCTCAGTGACACTGCTGGGCTGCAGGTGACACCTTGGTGACACTGCTGGGCAGCAGGTGACACCTCAGTGGCACTACTGGGCAGCAGGTGACAACACAGTGACACTCATGGGCTGCAGGTGACAACACAGTGACACTCATGGGCTGCAGGTGACACCTCAGTGACACTGCTGGGCAGCAGGTGACACCTCAGTGACACTGCTGGATTGCAGGTGACACCTTGGTGACACTCATGGGCTGCAGGTGACACCTCAGTGACACTCCCAGGCTGCAGGTGACATCTCGGTGACACTCCGGAGCCCTCTGTCCCCTTGTGAGCAGGAGATCAGCTCTGTGCAGGTCACCCCCAGGCTGTGCCCCCCCAGAGACCCCTCCCCACGTACCTGGCTGCAGGGTGGCACCCCGAGGGTGCTCTCTGGGGACAGCTGGCTCTGGCACTGGCCTGGCTGGCGACAATCCAGCTGGATGAGGCTGCGGCACTCCTGGTGACACGTGTACCTGCAGTCTGCAGGGACAAAGGGACAGCGTGAGGCACCAGGGCTGCCCCGGGCTGGGGACACTGGGGACAGCGCGGAGGGACGGGGCTGCAGCAGAGGGATCAGAGCACGGCCAGAGCTGGGGTGGGCACGGGCACAGGTGCCTTCAACACACCTGTCCCTGTGCAGGCACACATGTCCCCTTCAACACACCTGTCCCTTTTAACACACATGTCCCCTTCAACACACCTGTCCCTGTGCAGGCACATGTGTCCCCTTTAACACACCTGTCCCTGTGCAGGCACACATGTCCCCTTTAACACATCTGTCCCTGTGCAGGCACACATGTCCCCTTTAACACACCTGTCCCTGTGCAGGCACACGTGTCCCCTTCAACACACCTGTCCCTGTGCAGGCACACGTGTCCCCTTCAACACACCTGTCCCTGTGCAGGCACACGTGTCCCCTTTAACACACCTGTCCCTGTGCAGGCACACATGTGCCCTTTAACACACCTGTCCCTTTGCAGGCACATGTCCCTGTTCAGGCACGTGTCCCTTTTAACACACATGTCCCCTTCAACACACATTTCTCTGTTCAGCCACATGTCCCCATTCAGGCACATATGTCCCTTTTAACGCACATGTTCCTTTGAACACAGGTGTTCCCTTTAACACATGTCCCTGTTCAGGCACACATGTCCCCTTTTAACACACCTATCCCTTTTAACACACATGTCCCTGTTCAGCCACACATCCCTTTTAACACACATGTCCCTGTTCAGCCACACATCCCTTTTAACACAGGTCCCTGTTCAGCCACATGTCCCTTTTAACACACATGTTCCTTTTAACACTCATGTCCCTGTTCAAGCACACGTTCCTTCTAATACACATGTCCTTTCTAACACACGTGTTCAGGCACATGTTCACCAATCACCCCTGGAGGGTGCAGGGACACAGTGCCACCATCAGCTCCAGAGAGGGCAGGGACACGGTGCCACCATGGCCCCAGAGAGGGGAGGGACACGGTGCCACCATGGCCCCAAATCACCTCTGCAGAGGGCAGGGACACAGTGCCACCATGGCCCCAGAGAGGGCAGGTCCTGGGTGCCACCATGGCCCCAGCTCCCCCCTGGACAGGGCAGGGACACGGTGCCACCATGGCCCCAGAGAGGGGAGGGACACGGTGCCACCAGAGCCCCAAATCCAGCCCTGAACAGGGCAGGGACACAGTGCCACCAAAGCCCCAGAGAGGGCAGGTCCCAGGTGCCACCAAAGCCCCAGAGAGGGCAGGTCCCAGGTGCCACCATGGCCCCAGAGAGGGCAGGTCCCGGGTGCCACCATGGCCCCAAATCACTCCTGGACAGGGCAGGTCCCAGGTGCCACCAAAGCCCCAGAGAGGGCAGTCCCAGGTGCCACCATGGCCCCAGCTCACCCCTGGACAGGTCTCAGCAGGGCCTGAGCTCCTGCCCCAGGTGCAGCAAGGCTTTTCTGTGCCTGTTTTCCTTGGATGCTGCCCCAGTGGCAGACATTAACCCATTCGTGCCCGGGTGATCTGCACAGAGCAGCTTTAACCCCTTCAGGCACAGGGCCCTGCTCAGCCCCAGCTGCAGAGGGGCACGTTTGGCACAGGCAGCTCCAGTTATCCCAAATTTGTGACCATCACTGCTGCAAGCCCCAGCTCCTCCAAAGCCTCCTGACTGCAGTGACCAACCTGCTGCCACTTTAATGGCCCACCTGAGCCTTTTAATTTTTAACTGCCAGACAAACAGCCTCACATTTACTTTCTACACTGCCCAAAATTCCAGAGCGGTCACCAACCTGGAAAAAAAATAATTCTATCCTAAAAACAAGGCAAGAGATTTGATTCCACAGGGGGATGTGAGTGCCTGTCCTTGCACCAGCCCCATGGCCTTGCAAAGAACCACTGAACTTTTATTTTAAATACACATCTTCTTTCTTTTTCCTTTTGCTTCCTTTTCCTTTTTTTCTTTTTCCTTTAGCATTTGGGTCATTGGTTTTGAATGTCTGGGGCTTGCAGGAAAGCAAAGGAATATCCCATGTTTGCTCTGGAAAATGATTTCTGCTCAAATTTATTTTAAATATATATTCTTTATTTTTTGTTTTTCTTACTTTTCCTTTTTCTTTTCTTTTTTTTTTTTCCCTTTAGCATTTGGGTCATTGGTTTTGAACGTCTGGGGCATGCAGGAAAGCAAAGGAATATCCCATGTTTGCTCTGGAAACTGATTTCTGCTCAGCTCTGGTGAATTCTGCAATGTCTGAGAATGAGAATGAGTGAGAGGAGCTGAAGCAGTGCTGGGAGCTGCTGCCTGAGGGGGGGAACATCAACCTCCAGAGGAAACAGGGAAATCATTTATCATTTATCATTTAACATTCATCTGGCATGAGCTGTCTGTCATTCTCCTATTCCAAGCCAGTTGTCTCAAGTCAGCCTGGGGGAAAAGCAGGGAGATTTGGCTTTTTTTTTTTAATTTTAATTAGAGATAAGCTGCAGTTACACAGTAATTTAATGCATGACCTTTGCAGCAACTGGAACAGCTTTTCAATGGGGGACATTGGCCAAGTCTTTGCTGGAGCTGCCAGCTGGAGAATGCTCCAGCTGTGGCTTCACCTGAGCATCTGCCACCACCACAACGTCCCCTCTGTCCCCTGTGCCCGGATTTTCACATTTGGGCAGCCAAAGGTGTCACACAGGAAATCTGCACCACAGAAACGCCAATCGCCAGGCACCTCCTCCCATTGTGGCATTTCTCCGTGGGATTAAAGGGTGACACCTCCTTAGTCACCGTCACCTATTAACAGACCCTAATCACCGCCGATCCGGTGGGGAACGCTAATTTTAGAAACCCTGCACAGCTTTAGGAAGCAGCCACGTGAGCAGTTTGCCAAGAGGAGCAGGATGCCTCCACTTAGGCTTGAAGATAATTTCCATTCCAGTCAAACAATGGAACACTTGGAAATGGAGGGGTTTAAAAAGAAAAAAAAAAAGAGAGAGAAAAAGGTCATGATATTGTGAAAAGCTTTGGTGGCTGAAGGGAATTTCCCTTTTTTCACAGGTAAAGTCACTCAGGGGGATGAAATGGGCAATATAAATGCCCATTAAATGCTCCATCACTGCAGTCTCACCTTGGCACTTTTTGGTCTAAACCAGATGGTTTGGACTTCAAAAGAAACTTTCATAATCCTGTTGTTTATTACTTGCATTTCGTAGATTTAACACACATGTCCCCTTTAACACATGTCCCTTTTAACACACATGTCCCCTTTAACACAGGTCCCTGTTCAGGCACACATGTCTGAACACATCCCCTTTAACACATGTCCTTTTTAATACATGTCCCTTTTAACACACATGTCCCCTTTAACACATGTCCCTTTTAACACACATGTCCCTGTTCAGGCACACAGGCCAAGAAATGTTAAGAGTGTTCTGTAATCAGGGAATAGTTGGTTTCTGATTGTGCTGGTGTGAATTATAACAACTGTTATTGTCTCGCCCTTCAAATGAGAAATGGAATAAAAGTTTTTAAAACACCTCTCAGTTGCCCCATCTCTGGTCAGCAAAGGGCATAGTTATATTTCTGCTTGTTACTTACTTAAAGCATTTTTTTGCTGCACTAAGCCCTGCTATATTACAACACAGCAATTTAATGCTGTGAAAGCCTAGTTAGTTCAAAGGGCATAAATTGTGTTCGATAATAGTTACAAGTTATTGTTTGAAAAAGTCTTGTTGATTCTAAGGTCTTAATTGAAAACTTTTTTCCATGTCTATACTTTCATCTATTATCTCTGTGAGATTTTGACAACTCTCTGTGAATTTATTTTTTACTTCTCTCTCTTGTATGATAAAAACAACTTTGATAGTTTTGTTCATTATTTGTTGCACACACTGAAGTATGCAGGGTGTTACTACTGATATAATTACTAAAACACTCAATACATAGAGACTTATCTTGCAAAGCTTTTTTAGCTAAGGTGCAAAGCTCCATTCTTGGAACAAATCCTTTAACTAGGACTCACTATCTTCTTTCATTTGAGCTGTCAGATCTTTTAGCTTTTGTGGATGGACTCAGAATGATCTGACAGGTTCACACAGCACAATCTGTGAGGTCCCTGTGCCACTGCAGCCCCTGGCAGTGACAGAGCTGTCACCCCAGCTGCTGGCACGATTTAACCAAGCCCAAATGCCCCTCTGGGGTGGCAGCTGGGACAGCAGCCATGCCCTGTGCTCCTGCCAGAGGAGCCAGAGGGGCAGGTGAAGCCACCTGGTGCCACAGGTGTGGTGCCAGCCCTGTGCCCAGCCAGGCAGGATCCCTGTGTCGGTGCTCACAGGGGTCTCAGGATGAGGATCTGACTCCATGTTTCAGAAAGCTTGATTTGTTATTTTATGATATATATTATATTAAAACTATACTCAAAGAATAGAAGAAAAAGACCTCATCAGAAGGCTGGCTAAGAATAGAAAGGAATGATAACAAAGGTTTGTGGCTCAGACAGAGAGTCCGAGCCAGCTGGGCTGTGATTGGCCATGAATTAGAAACAACCACATGGGACCAATCCCAGATGCACCTGTTGCATTCCACAGCAGCAGATAATCAATGTTCACATTTTGTTCCTGAGGCCTCTCAGCTTCTCAGGAGGAAAACTCCCAAGGAAAGGATTTTCCATAGAAGATGCCTGCGACAGATCCCCACGTCCAGGCTGGGCTCAGCAGTGCCAAGGCAAACCCCACACCCCAAAAATCAGCAGCAAACCCATTCAAAATCCCCCCAAATCCCATCAGCACCTACCTGGAAGCAGCAGCACCTCCCTGCTGGGCCTCCTGGCTGGGCACAGTCCCCTGGAGCAGGGCTTGCCTCGGGGGAAATGCCTGAAGATTTGACGGATTCTCTTTGTTACAAGCCCAAAACAAGAGGCTGCTCCCTCCTCCCCCTCTGGCATCCTCCAGGAGCTCCTCAGGCACGTCCCAACCCCAAATGCTCTGGGATACAACTTGCTCCAGGGCC